GAGTGCTTATCAGAATCGTGTTCCATTGCTCCAGTGTGAGTTAATCTGTATGTATTCATACAGTCCTGCAAGTAGTCATTCTTGTCTTAAGTTTTAGTAATAAATTCAATATAATTTTTATTATTGTAGAGAAAAACAATATTTTGGAAAAAATGCAATCTTGTTGTTTGTACATAGTTTACAAGTAAGTGAAGCCAAGTGAAACAAAATTCTAACTACGTAAACTTAGTGGCACGCTGTGTGAGAAAGTTTTGTCGGTGATGAGCATCTAGTAAACTATGTAATTTAATGTAATTATTGGATAAACTGCACTTGCTTCGAGGAAACTGAAAGAAACTTTTTTTTCTTCGTAAAAATACTATTATAGTGCAATTAGCTGTATCGAAGTAAAGTAGCCCTTAAAATTACAATAGAACTCTAAAAAATGTTTCAAACATAATAATTTCATAAACCAAAGTCATAAATGATCAGCTTTGGATAGAAAACGAAAAGAAATTTTTATAGAGATCTCGAGTGGGTGTCTAGAGTTGTCAGATGAATCTGACTGCCTGAAAGTTGACTTGATTCCTCGCTTCGACTTTTTATTTCTTTATCTGAGCTCCAACTCTTTAGAAAAGCCCTTTTACTCGGGTGTGTCCTTTCTCTGACTCTCATCTCATTTTTTCACTCCCTCCCTCTCTATTTATCAAGCAACAGCTCGCGCATATCCGGCCGATCTTGCGTGTCCCGGCGAAATTTACTTGCCCTTGATGTGCTTCCTATTTCGTCTGCACATACGTGTACACGTATAAGGCAATATTTGTAGCTCCATACCTCGCTCTCTTACACGTTGATTCTTCAATCCTACAATATTCTCTTTGACCATTAAGTAAGTTCACAAATAATTTGACTCTAATCTTTTAAAACGAACAGGTTACGGAACGTCGTTAACGTTGTTTAGAGGACAAAAAAATTCCATTATTTTTTCGTTAACATTACACATAATATACAAAAGCCCGACTTTTTTTTTTTTAATAATTTTATTTTTCGTCCTCGTAGACTGAGACTTTTATGAAGGCAGGGCAGTAGAGGAAAGAAAAACGGATAGAAATCTCGCCTGAGATATTGCTACTAATTTATAATAATTTTTTAAATAATTTTATTCTAAAAACTAGTAGTATTACTCGTCGTTTAATAAAATTAATATTTATACTTGTTTCTACCGATTTTATACCATCTTTGGACTTGTTTTTTTTTATTAAGTAGTATGACTCGTCGTATAGTCAGACACACTCAACATACGGTAGTAGTTACCGTAGTGATCGTAGTGATTACATACCATTTTAAAATGATTTTATTTTACAAACAAGTAGTTTAAGTCACAGTGTAGTTAGATGGGACCTGTTTACATGCTTGTTACAATTTCATACCATTTATCAGCTTATTTTTTCAAGTAGTAGTATGACTCATCATGTAGTCAGACATAGCCAGCGTTCACGTTTGCTTTAATTTAAAAGTACTTATTTTTCTTATTTTTTAGTAGTATGTGTCATGACATAGTCAGACAAAGCGTACATAAGTACTTTCTATTAGTCAATGGCACTTTTAAGCTTATTTTTCAAGCTAGTATTAATCTGTAGTATAGTAAGTCAAACGCTACATAATCATTTCGAAAAATTTTGTGCAATTTTTTTAAAATGACAAAGATTACTAAAGAACCTATATATTTGAATATCATGCAATGCAGCGAAATACGATTGACAGATTTAGATAAGTAATAATCATTTTGCCATAAAATTTAATTCAAAAAGTGCTGGAAAAAAAAGCTCTTATAAAATTTATCATTCGCAAAAAAAGGCAAGTGCAAGAGTATTTGTGTCACTAAGAGCTAGCATTAAAAAGTACCTCCAACTGCGAAGAGTAAAAGCACACATGTTGAGTATGTACACGTGAATACGTTTTGTCTCTCTTTACACTTAACTTGTGTCTCTGTATATCCATTTGAGCTACACAATGTATGATATATGATCAACATGGCCATTATTTACAATGCCGTGCACTAACGCAACAGAAGCTTTATTACCATTCAAATAAAATACTTTCAAATGCACGTACCAGCTGCACAATGCAAAAGCTCTCTGGCAGGTATTTTAATGAAACAATAAAAACAATTAAAGGATGAAAGTAATTAAAAATTTTTGTTTTTATTACCCTGGATGGATCTAATCTTTCATCTTGGATTATATCTTGGAGTCCTGAATACAGAGGGTAAATAATTTATGGTGTAAAGTTTACCACAAAATTTTTGTTATCCTATTAAGCTTTTAAACAACTTTTGAACCGATAGCGTTTGATAATTCAAAAACAAGTCGTTCCACCATTATGTAAGAAAAGATATTTCAGAGATTCGAGGATGGTTTGATTGAACGAGAAAAATATGCAGTGAACGATAAGGTTTAGTAAAATCTTGTTTGAGCGACAAGAAGGGAAAAGATGAGGTATGGAACTCCTGCGTCCCCTCCCCAGATTTCTTGACAAAAACTTTATGCCCCTAAGATACTATATCAATCTTATCTTTACTCAAAATTTTTCTTAACAGTACATCTTCAAAAATAGTACTGCTACCGTCACAAATTAGCATTGAAGATGCAGCATCGTTCAAGAAAATTATTCCAAATAAAGGTAGAAGCGGAAAATGTGCAGAACTTTACATACAAAAAAATGAAATACATCCCGATCTACCATCGGTCCATATCTAATATATGTACAAAAATACAGATTATGGAATATAAGAAAGCCTCAAACGCTCCTACGAGGACAGCCGGTCTATTTACCAATTCTGTTTGATCAACAAGCACTGGACCCTGCCTCTTTTAAGGAATGTTTGTACCCAACCTCGTATAAGTATGGTATATGATGGTACACGAAAGCAGTAACTCGATTCATATGTTTGCACACGTATGTGTACCCAAGGATAGTCGTATGTTGGCGTATGGCATCGCCGTGTGTTTACACGTACACGCCGGAGTTATCTGCTGTCTTCGGGACGAGAATGGACGATGCTCCTCTCTCTATCTCTCATCTTTTATTTGTCCACGCTAAGCCCATCGGCCAACTTCTGGAATCTTAAGAATTACATTCTTGGCTGATACATCGGTCATTGTCCTCCTTATGTACATACGATTTTTATGGTATAAAAAAAAAAAAATAAGAATTGAAAACTTTGTAGTACTGGCTTGATGTATATGTACATGGGCAAACGTATTGGTTTTTTTAACGAGGCATACGAGAATTCACACCAAAATAGTAATTTTTTAAGTTGGTGTAAAAATCGCTACATCATTTTTGAAAGTGATTTTAAAGCCAAGGTTTAGATAACGTATAAAATCGATCGTAATTTATGTTCGTGCGTCGAACGAGACTTTCAAAAATCAAAATTTTAAATCATCCATAGGGGATAGTACAAAAAAGCATTTGAATAGCATTTGCAGCAAGTAATAAAATTGAAAACATTTTTCAAAACGTTGGGACGCACGTTGCTGCGAAAATCTAGTGATCGAACTTTCAATGAAATTTCCAAGCAATATCCGTGAAACTGAAAAAAAGCACCACGGAGATTCCCATTTCTTATCTCCATATTTTCACATCAACCAATCTTTGCCACCTCGTGCATCCCCTAGAGATCGACATCTATTTCCGTTTTATTCGCGATCTTTCGCATTCGACTAGAAACACATACACACGCATGAATATACGTGCGATGCTTCGAAGCCCGAGCATTCGCTCCTTTTTCCTCCGTCTTATTACATTTCTCGCATTTATCTTCGTTTTCCCCACATCTTTATTCCACGTCTTTCATAGCTCTCACTCCCGCGGTTTCTGCACAAACGTACCGATGAAACATGTTTTACCTTCGCCAAATTTGTATAACCATCCTTTTCTCACCATACTACTGTGCTCTTCCCCCAGTAAAACATCGATTTTCGCGACTTGCCTTTGAGATCCGTGGAGCAAACCTCCAACTCCCTATGGCAGTATTCTTTTTTTATTTCCAGCTTTCGCCCTGTACGTGCACACCTACGACCACGAGCTTTTCCATATGCATCGCTTGTATTCGACTTTTCCTTTTCGTGCTCCTTACGCTCGTGTACGCCCTGGCAGGAGTATTATTGTTTTCTACGCTTTGCGATCTTGCGGTGCCTAGGGGATGAGAGCCGAGAGAAAACCTATTTCGCGGCCAATCGCTCACCGATGGTGTGCGAACGATTTTTTTTTTTTTTTTTTTCATGTTTCCCCGAATAAAAATTGGTACAAATTTTTTTGTCACAACATCAAACCGAAATAATTGTCATGAAACAGGGGAACGAGATATTTTGGCATATTTAAATGATAATTTGGGTGAATGTTAGATATTTGTTTAAAAGAAAACCATCAAAGCTTACTTAAACAAATTCAATTGTCTTAGCAGAAAGAGCTCGTGGGACGTTATCAAATATCAAAAATTTGTACACGTGATGTTAGTGAACTAAAACGGTTTCAACAGCAACAATGATAATTTTTAAGCCTTAATAAATACTGAGGTACTGCCAAAATTGCGCATTTGCAAAACGCCAATAAACTGTGTATGTGTGTGTGAAAAAGGACCCAAAATGAACACTCTAGCAACCCAAATCCAGATGTATACCTGAAAGAAAAACTTTCTCTTGAATTTAAACTTCATCAACTTGTGCTGTAAAAAATTCCATCGTATGGAAACGCAAAGTGTGTATTTTCAAAATCTGACGGATCAAAATGGTTTTCTCGGGATGTATCAAAAGTAGCAAAAAAAGCAACATAGAAAAAAAATTCAATCTAAAAATATCTAATTTTGTACACGTGGATGTTTTGATTGCAAGTATTCGAGGAATCCTCTATCTAACGAGAACTCAATAAATTGCGACTCCGATGAAAATAAAAAAAAAGTAGGTGGATACAAAAAAAATCCGACTAACGAGTACAAGGAGGGGAAGTGACAACCTCACCTTGTTGCAATAGAAGTAGCAGGAGCGTCGACAACAACAGTGACTTGGATGAGGCATCCATGGCTCGAGATCCCGTGTTCCTTTGATTATCAGCGTGGCTCTGCACGTAAGAGTACACTGTGTTCCTCCCTCTCCACCGTTTACTGCTGGTTCCTCTGTGAAGCTTCGCACGTATCCTCCGCTTCATTATCACCGGTTCTGCACCTGAAGCAAAATAAATACACCAGGGTAGTCTAATGATTGTCAGAGGATGTGCAGAGGCTGTTAGTTGTTCGTTAATTATTGTGCCGTAATTTTTTATTTTCAGCTCAATTAAGGATACGGTATGTGTTTGGCACGAGCTAGGATACATGGTGTATATCAAAGTCAAATCGAGTGTACGTCTTTCGTTTTAATCAGAATGAGAGAAGACATTAGTAACTAAAAAATTGCCACTGTGCGATAGAATAGATATGAAATGAAAAACTTGTAAGAAAATAAAGTAATTTTGTCACTAGAAGCACTGTACTGAACAAGACTCCGTTTTCAGCTATACCAGTCTACGACGACAAGACGTAACGTCAAAACTGTCGAAGATCTCACTTGCACTATTATATAATATCTACGCGAACATACCCAGCACACGCACACGGACAAACACGTAAGGAAAAGACATGTAGCTCTGTAAAATTGTCTCTCCAATAGGTACGAAAGTTTTCGCAGTGCCAGTGTGTAAAACTACCCTCGCATGTGGGACACGTACACGTGTTATGTCACTGTCAATTAAGGGCAATACTTGCTAACGTCTTTCCTTTGACAGGCACGAGTCTGACAGTTGCGAAAGAAACATCGTGTCTTTCTCCATCCCCCAGGACTCATACTTACTTGACTCCCGCCGCCAACCTACGAGTTTTCGCAGAAACATGCAACTCCACTTCCGAGAGGGAGAGTCGACCTGAAATTTTCATACTAGTGATACTTTGACGTAATACTCGCACTAACTTAAAAAGAAAAACGTTGACTTTGATGTGGTGGTACATCGAGAACGCAAATTACTTTTTCCTCTTTGGATGCATAACATATGCGTGTAAATGATCCTCTTCCATTTTCTCGATTTCTTTTTTCTTTAATCACCCACTCACAATTACGTCGTGTTTCATTACAATTTTTTTTTTTTTTTTTTTTTTTTTTTTTTTGAAAAAAACTCTTTGAAATTTTAATTAATTTTTACCTTTTACGTACGAATTCATGCCACCCTATTCCATGAAAACCAATACTTTCACGTGTGCTTATTTTAAGTTTGAAAGAGAGCGTCGTAGTTGCACGTAAAAAAATGTTCTCACTATCCATCCGTGCGATGCCAATGAAAACTCCTCGTGTCAACAAAATTAGAACCTCTACTCGTACACTCGAGGAGTCGAAAGCAGCAGCAGCAGAACTGAATTCCAAAGCTGTGATTAAGCGTGACAAGGGGGCTGCGCTCAACTGGTTACTGAATCATTTGCAAATGGAATAATTCCATCCCTCCATAATTATTCCAACTGCAGACAGGAAGAGAAACGATATCGAGTCTCGTAGCTGTTTGTAGTGTGACTGCGAGGCGCTCGATCAAGTGGAATCGTCGAAAATGATTATTCAAAACGTCCCACTCATTCACCCTCCCATCCTTTTCCAACTTTGGCTGTCGACAATGGACACAACAAGTGTAACGATTTGCGAGGTCAAAGGTACCTGTACCCACCCCACGTCTATCCCCATCCCCTTTGATGTGTTTACCTGCACCCGATGCATACCAGCACAGCAATAAAATTGAATATGCATACCCTCCCACTGGCAGGGATCAAGAGGACTCTCACGGGCATATTAACGGGCATTGTCGCACTAAGCCGATGCTCCTCGATTTATTTAACTAAATAGAATAGAAATTACCTGACTTTTTTTTCCTCTCCAGTTTCACCAAGAAAAGTGACAAAATAGAAGGAAAGACGAAGGCATATATGTGTTAACACACTTGGATGTGGAAAGGTGCTATTAACAGGATGTAGGTACATGGGATCTGTTTTTGAGACAGAAATAGCGTTGAACGTAATTAAGAAAGCGTATCCCTGTTTTTCTCTCATTTGGCCCGATATTCTGCAGCAGCAAAGACTTTCCCGCTGTTTCATTTTTGTTTAATATGGCGGAGCGCAGAATAATGGTTTCGCGTAAATTTGCGCGGCGCTTGATTAACTTAAACAAGTCTTTTGAATAATGGATCGTCGCTTCCTCTTTCGTGCACGCGCAGGTATGTACATCTGGCTTTTTCTGAGAGCGCCCGCCCCGTCGCTCGAGCATTAAAGCGCCATTCAAACTTTGCTTGCGAAACGCGTTTATTAAAACCGAGAGAATATTAATAATCGAGTCGTAATTTTCTTCTTTCTATTTTCCTTTCTTTTCAATCTCCTGTTTATTCATAACTAAAAACGGAAATGGGAACCATCAATTTTTATTTCTGCTGTCTGTATTTATACCGTAGAGATAAGCGGTATACCAAGAATACATTTTTTCGATTCATGAGTTTTGATTGTAATTATTTTAGTTACTTTATAAAGGCTGAATAAAAGTCAGACAGCTTTCTATTTAATTTGGTAGGCTTTTTTTATGAGAAAAATTTTAATATTACACAGTTAACATTTTTTTAATTTTTGAGAAATTTGAATTAAAATTGCTTTAGTTAATCGTGACGGTGTATATTCTCTCAGTAACACGCTTGAGTCTATGCAGTTTTGTTAACATTTCGTCAGGGAATGTATATGAATGCCAACGAAAAGTTATTCTACGCTCATTGCTATTGTAATATGTTTTAATTTCAAAGTTAACTTCTTCACTTATAAAATTTATAACATAGTTCCGTTGTTTTAGATATCCTTTGGATATTTACGAATTTATTTGCAGAAATTTATCAACAGCTTAGGTTTCATTTGAAAAAATAGCACACTTTGTTTTTTGTAATCCAATTTGCATCAGTATTATAGAACCAAAACAACTGAAGTACGGACGTATCTAAATTTTGCTAAAAATAACTGGTGAGACTAATCTGTAGAATTTCGTAGAGTAACAAACTGTTAAAAATGATTTTATTTTCAGTTTTACAATTATCGACCATTCGTTCTTATAAAAAAAAAAAACAAAAAAAAAAAAAAAAACTCTTGTTAAAATTTAAGGTATACCTCGTACAAAGAAATTATTAAATATTACCTTTACATTCTGACATTTGAAAAAATCTAGTCCCTGTCATTCAAAGCTTAAAACAAACTTATTTACCTGTTGGACAGGTCTGTTGCACACCTTCATCTTTGTTCCAAGCACTCCTTGTAATTTTCTGCCTCATCTGCAGCTGAAAAATTCTCCACTTCTCAAATCACAAATTGCGTAAACGAATATCGCTCACACTTGCTCTTAAATCCACCGGCACATGCACTGCACCGATAACAATACAAAAACTACATCATCAGCAATAAACCACAGATGTCAGCAAAAACACAATTGGTAATCTTACACTGAGCCAACATCAGCAACCAATCAACGTATAAATCAGCAATAAATAAAAAAAATATATATTTAGGATCAGAGTTGCCGTCGTACGTGCACGTCTCGCGAAGGGCAAATTCCGACTGGCGTAAAAGCTAAGCACAATTTCCAACGAGATTCCCGCCTTCACTGGTTCAGCGGCACCTGAGCGCACGCGCGTTATTTCGCCACCACTACGTTTACCACGCTATGTACAACGCAACTACCCTTGTACTCTCTGTACCAGCTATTAACCCTGGCGATCGGGTGGGTATGACGGAGATACCACCGAAACCACTACCACCATCAGCCTTCCTAGCCTGCAGAAGAGGACACGTACATGCAGCCACCCATTAAAACGAGTAGGAATTTTTGAGCAGAGATAGTTTTGAAATTCCTCTGTGGCACGTTTCTGTTACTCACTCTATGTCCCGAGCAATGGTATAAACAATTTCTGCGTTCCGATCAGTGAAATCGTTCATTGCTTCAAATTTAATATTTTTCGTTACTTGCGTTATTTTTTCTCTTGATATATTGGTTGTATGTTCGTTTGGCCATTACATTGTTAACATTTTTATATGAGCATATTTTATAGCTCGAATTTTTAGCTATGCACTAAAAGGTTGTAGAAAAGACAAAACAAAAATTTTAATTTTTGTAAAATCAGCGTCTTTAGCTCAATAGGCTCGTATCTGAATGGTTGCACAAAAGCGTAATAAAATTAATGGCAACTAAAAAGCTTTCCTACACGAGCAACGATTCAGTAAATCGCAAACCACTCATGAGATATTAGGACAGAAGACTAGCAAGGAATTTTAAGACTCGACGTGATTGAGGCCCTAAGCAGAGACGTAAGACTTTCCGTTATGATCGTGGAAGGGCCCTAAATGCTACTGATCAATTAGTCATCAACTTCAGGTCATACTAGAGAACTTTTTTACATGTAGAAAATAGACATTTTCTCTCTTGAAGCACTGGCTTGAAGGACAATAAACTTGAGATATCATCCTCCCCCTCGTTTAGAGTATTACTTACCATCTCACGTTTAGTCTGACTTAACGCGGACACGCACTACTGCCATCACCACTTCTTACCCGAGGTAAGCGTAAAGTGGGCCTCAGCTTTTGATGAATAAATTAAAAGATGAATAGTTGGGTGAATATAGATTGTATAAATGGATTTAAATTGTCTCAACATTAACCTACTGATGTACAAAATAAATATAATCATTCGAAAAAAGAGCAACACGAGTAACTCTAAACAATTTAAATATTGAATGTGTTTGAACCGCACTTCTGAATCAATACGTAATTTACGATGGGCAATATGAATTGTAATATCAACCAGAAATAAACTTGAATTTCAGCATTGCACGTAAAAAATATAGTCAATCGGGAGGAACAAGTAATGTTTTTGCAAGGCACTTTTATATCGCCAGAGGAATAAAAGCTTGACTGAGAAGTATTGTTTTAGAGCTAAATTAATTTTGCTTGTTTGCCTTAATAAATGGAGTAAAAATATTTTTTTTCATTTATCCTACACTATTGTAGAGTAGACATACGAGAGATGGAAAAGTAATTTATTAGAACACCCTGCTCGTCTCATTTTTTTACTCAAATCTTGTATCTCATTGAAATAATAATAATGTCCATTACTAATTAAAACCTTACATTAGATGAATGACGAAAAATACATTCAACTTTTTCTACGTTGTACCATTTCATCGTTTTGGGTGCATGAAAATAACACAACTTTGCTGCATTAAATTAAGATAAATATAATTTTTTTCATGAGATTAATTATCAAACTGCTACTACTTTTGTTGTAAACGAAGACAATATTGAATTTCTATGTTTAACATTTGAATTCACTCGTACAAAGTGCAAGGTTATCGAGTCCTAATAATCAATTTCAAGTATTCCTTTCGTTTCGTCAGTTTTTTCTCACTGATTAATGATTGGAATTCCACCGCATAGGGAAAAGCTGATCTTCGACTACTCGAACGAATGCACATGACACCTGTATAAGCAAAAAAAACTTTTACTGAAACTCCACTATAAGAAAAATTGTGCAGAAACGCTTTGAATATACGTAAAACGATAGAAAAAATAAAATAAAATTCAAAGCCGTAAAAAAATTTGGCACTCAAAAAAAAAAAAAAAGCTGCAAACAACAAAAAAATCATAACGCACGTAAGTAGGTATGCAAGAACTAGCGAATGAAAATATTGACCTCAGCGAACTAGATGAATTTTTTTCTCTCTCTTGACTTCTACAGCTACGTCATTCCGATGTGCGTTTGTTTTGATTGGCTCTACCTATCAATGCGGTACCAATACGTGTACATGTACACTCCACTTAAAAATACGTCGCAGCAGCTTTTCTTCCCTCCTGGAGTTGGTAAAAACAACAATCGCCATAGCATATACACAGAAGAGGCGCTTGCACTTTTTATCGCGTGCAAGTTACATACGATCCCACACGCCTATGTATGCACTCGGCACCCATGCATTTTTCCTCGCATGTATTACTGGCCTAAGGCCACGCTCAACCGAGATGCAAAATATCCCTTCGCCCTCTCGTAGCTGAAATATTAAGTGTATAGAGCCGTACGTGGGCGACGGTTTGCAATATGGGCTACGTGTCGTCGTACATTAGCATATTTATAAGTATAGATCAGATCTCATCCGATCCCCCTCCAGCTCTTCTCCCTGACACCTCCTGGTACTTCGTCGTCTTCACTATAAAAGTCGAAAGTAATTTATTACTTAAAAATAATTTCTTACAATGTTACGAGTAAGTAGTAGCTCATATCAATATTAGGTCAGACATCAGCTCATTTGTATATTTATTGATACTCGAATAGAGAGATACTAACATCTTAATCATTGGAAATATTAATAAAGTGCACAGTCAGTTAATACCTGAATGTGCAAGGCAAGCTTTGAAAAATAAGTTACTATTGTTTATAGGACTTTTTTTTAATTGAGTCAAAAAATAAAAAATCTTATCCATGCGTTGTTCAGAAGCTGTGTTTCCTATGTGAAAAAATTATGTCCAATGATGCAAGAAACAAGAAAAACAAGAAAAAGTATGTGGATATTCTCATCATTCAGTAAAATTTAAATTTAGCAAATTCAATGACCGTAAAAAATAGCTGTCACGCAGTAAACCGACTCATAAGCACAATAGCCACGAGCTGCTCACTTCACTAAGACAAGCCCCACAATTTTCAGCGCAGCCATTCATTCCGTTCAACAGAGGCTAAAGGGCAAGCGCTCACCAGAGGGTATAAGTAAGAGCAAACAATAGCCTCACGCTCGCAAAATCATCAGACAGTCAAAATTGTGTTGCCCGAGAAAGTAAGCAGCCTTACAATACGCCACAGTCCAGCACATCGTTTCGTTTGAGCTGCTCGAGGTACGGCTTAACTCGACTTGGTCAACTACTCGGACTTCTGCTGTTACTCACCTGACTCCCAGAGCATAACTGTGATTGCTACGATTGTACTGTACCATCAAGATGTTCCCCCTGTGCAGCGGACCGAAATTTTGGATTTAATTGCAAGTTTGACCTCCAAGTCCTGGCTTATCCCTGCGGCTCACGTCCCTCAACGTCACTCTCTTCTCTTCTTTTTGGCCTGTGTTGATTACTATTTTCCACTTTTCTTGGCTCCACTTGCCGATTCTTGCATTATCTGACTACTTTTGTGATCTAGTGCAAGAACACATACTTCCTTTCATAAAATAAAAAATCAACGTACAACTTGAGTTCTAGACTAACCAGACAAAAGAGCAGTGACCACCCAACAATTCGAATCAGACCTTGAATGACAAAGGTAATCGTTAAGCCATCAAAATAGCTTTACTGTGAGAAAATCAATTAAACAGTGCTAGATGTCCGAAAGCCTTGGTAGGAATCAAACGGTCAATCTCAAAGATGCTCTCTAGAAGCTCTTGGACAACAAACGGCAGCTAAAGCTCGTCGTGTTCAAAGTAGTGCAAGTTACACCAGTCTTTAATCAATTATGTAAAATATTTGCTGACCTCAAAGCTGTGATGGTGGTGTTGTCGAGAAAACTAATCAGTGACGCAGTTGCTTTGCTGTGTCTTTGTTTACCTTTGTCCACAGCCTAAAGGACGACGATGCGTTCTCCGTTGTGTCCCTTGGCATATTTATTAAAACTTTCAAATAAACTCCTACTCTTTAAGTGAGGCTAGCACTCGACTCGTTAAATTTATCACGATTCCTCGTTTTCCTCTAATTCATCACCAAGTATCTACGTGACGGCATTAAAAAAAAAAAAAAAAAAAAAANAAAAAAAAAAAAAAAAAAAAAAAAAAAAAAAAAAAAAAAAATCAGAAGAAAAACAGAGAAGGATTAGGTTAAATAAACGGCAAGGACACGCTGACCCATGTATGTGTGGATAAAAGCTTGTTTGTTTGTATTTTCGTCTCTTTTTGCTTTTATAATATGCACGAACCATCCTCACCGTCTCGTTTCACCCGTTCATTTCAGTGGGTAGCCCCGTCTCCAAGGGCTCACCCCCTTCTCCTCCTCTTCTACCACCCAAAGTTCGAGATACGAGATTATCCGGGTCTCGCGTGAGCTTTACGGCATTCTACTACTGCTGAGCTGGTCGCAGTGCCCCTGTCTCGGACCGTGTCTGTTTTTGCTGCCTTTCAGTGGTGATAAGCCGTACATGCATGCAAGTAGTATTTGCCTCAAGAGTCCGAGACTAGCCTGGACGTACTCAGTTTGCAGGTGCCAGCCAGTGTCATCAGCCACGGAGTAATGCTCATAAGGGCCTCGTTATGGATTAGCCGATGTGTTGCGCCCCCTTCTTGAACCCAATTTTGTATGACTTTAATTTTGTTTTACGCAATACTGATTGTAAGGGAACACCTCATCGCTGAAGATGTGTACTTGGATTCTTTGTGGTTATTGTAATGACACTAATTGTACCATTTATTTTTGTTATTTACAGCTTACAAACTGTGGTTTTGAACGACAGTTCTGTTTTATCAAGAAGTACGAAATTAAATTGAAGATTTTTAT